AAACCCCAAACCCTGAACCCTAACACCGACAACCTGAACTCCTGACGACCAGCGGCCTAAACCCGAAACCCCTGCAGACCCCGCCTGAACCTATAGAGCCCGGTTTTCGAGCCCTTAAAGGAAGTTGAGTCCGCAAAACCCTAACCCTAAACCCCAAACCCTAAACCCTAAACCCTAAACCCCTAAACCCTAAACCCTAAACCCTAAACCCCAAACCCCTAAACCCAAACTCCTAAACCCTAAACCCGAAACCCTAAACCTCTAAGCCCAGGTGGCCCTCGTTACCATCCTCGGCTTGCTCTACCTCGTCGCCGAGAGCCCAGGACAATCAGAGGTGTGCGGATGGGTTCTGGGGTTTAATACAGAGGCCTTACGAATTACCTATACTATTTTGGGGGGGTTCCTTATTATATTCATAGTATAGTATTTTCCCCAAAATACCCTATTCCAATTCATAAGGCCCCTGATTACATTAGTTTTCGGCTTTGGGGCTTGGGGTTTAGGGTCTAGAGGCTTCGGGTTTAAAGGGGACCCTTCTATAGGACCCTAAACCCCTTCAAAGGGCACCCCGTTATAGAATCCTATACCACCCTTGAGGCATCGGGTTTGCAGCAGGGTTCAGGAGCCTTGCGCCCGGCATCGGGTTTATGGGGTTTGGGGCTTAGGTTTTCGGGTTTAGGGTTCAGGATAGACGCAGAACCCTAAACCCTCATCCCTAAACCCAAAACCCCAAACCGTAAGCCCTAAGCCCTAAATCCTCACCCCGAACCCTAAACCCCCGAAGCCCTACATCCTAAATCCTGAGCCCCAACACTGCTAGGAGGATCATGGGACTTAGTAACTAAGGCTATAACTATAGTTATAAGCCCAATTACGGTACTAAACTTATGACCTTACCTACGAAGGCCCTAAACCATAAACCCTAAACCCTAAACCCCTGAACCCTAAACCCCTAAACCCTGAACCGTAAACCCCTAAACCCCTTAAGCCCGAAGCAGCTCCATCAGCGGTTTAAGGGTTTAAGGGTTTTAGGGTTCTGGGGTTTAGTGTTTAGGAGTTTAGGGTTTTTAGGGTTTGGGGTTTTGGGGTTTGGGGTTTTGGGTTTAGGGTTCAGGGTTTTCGGGTTTAGGGTTTGGGGGTTTAGGAGTTTAGGGTTTTGGGTTCAGGCTTTCCGGGTTTAGGCTTCTGGGGCTTAGTGTTTTGGATCAAGGGACTTTGTAGGTGAGGTTTGTCGGTACCTTCATCTTGAATACCAGTAGTCATATCAGACCCAGATCTACCTGGACCCTAAAGTCCTAAAGCATCTAGCTTTTCAGAACTCCTTTTTATGATTTCTTTATATAAGTCCTTAAAAAGGTAGGGTCCGTAGGGTCGAGGTATAGCTATCTTACCTGGGAAAACCTAGAAAAACCCTCAATCTAGACCTTCCAAGGTTTGGACGCTGCCGGCGCCAACGCTGGTCTCAAAGGCTGGGCGGGAGATCAATAGCACTGTTCCCTTCTAACCCCGTATGGCTCTTGTAAGGCGCCCTGTAAGCCCTGTTTTAGTTCCTAAACCCCAAACCCTATAAGCTTTTTAAACCCTATAATCCCTAAACCCTAAACCCTAAACCCTAAACCAGTCCTTACTTTCATTTTTACGGCCCCTTTTCCAATCCTATTTTGCAAACCCTTTCGGTTCGAAGGTTCGAAGGCTTTAGCAAGCATGCAGCTTTCGTTCTCAACTCGTTTAACCTCCCGAAGTTCCCAACTTCCCTAAACCCTGGCCCCAAGCTTCCTAAGCCCTGTAAACCCTTAGTGTAAGGGGCCTTAAGAATTACCTATACTCTTTTGGGGGTTCCTTATTATAAGTATAGTATAATATACCCAAAACCCTATTCTAATTATATTGCACCCGAAACCCTAAACCCTGCACGCGATACTCTGCACCCCAAATCCCCATCTTCCCCTATAAGGTCTTACGCGCCAAAGCCCCAAAGCCCTCATGCCCGCTGCACCCTCAGACTCCATCGTCCGAATCCATAGGCACGACCTCACATAGAAGCACCGATGAAGAAAGCCCCGTCTTCAGAATTGAAACAGCCCTTTGAAAGGCAGGAAAAGCTCAACATAAGCCTCAACAGGGTAGGTTTTAGGGTTCAGGGGTTTAGGGTTTCGGGTATAACTCATACCTTAAACCCTAAGCCCTTAAACCCTAAACCCTAAACCCTATACGTCATTTAGAGCCCTCTTACAAACCCCCTTGCCCCTAAACCCTAAACCCTAATCCCTAAAACCCTAAACCCTAAACCCTAAAACCCTAAACCCTAAACCCTAAAACCCTAGGACCTTAACCCTAAAACCCTAAACCCTAAATCCTAATCCCTAAAACCCTAGGACCTAAACCCTAAACCCTAAACCCTAAACCCTAAACCATAAACCCTAGACCCTAAACCCTAAACCCTAAACCCAAAGCCCAAAACCCTAAACCCTAAACCCTAAACCCCTTACCCTGCTTGCGA